ATGTTAATCCCACTGTCATCACTTATAAAATATTATACCAAGACTCCAATTTTTTTGTAATAAAAGAATATTTTCTAAAAAATAAAACTTTCCTACCATTTCTAAGGTATATATGTTTACGCATATGGCAGTAAAAATAGCTGAGGTACCTACTGCGAAAAATTACTTGGAATCTTTTTAGTAGTGCATTCATACACCATGCTCGTAAATGTTGCCCACGCCTGGACTAGATCACAACAATAGAATTAAACAAACGACTGTGAAATACTCCGTAAGGTTTTATATTGCAAAGGCGCATGAAGTATTGTAACGTAATCTATGAGAACAAGCCCTACGTTATTCAGGTAGTGCAAACCCTAAAACACATCCTTTTATCCGTGCAGTATATATATATATATATATATATATATATATATATATATATATATATATATTATTTTTAAATTGAAGTATCTGATATCTATCATGAAAACTTTCTGACTCTTCGTAATTGAATTGAGAAATATATTTTATCTCACTATTAACTCGACAAAGTCACTTCCAAAGAAAATGAGTGAATATTCTAAGCAACATTTTTTTAATTCAAAGTAACTTCTGACGTTGACTTTTTCGAGTTAATTGTAAAATAAAAAATACCTCATAATTCAATTTCGAACAGTTAGAAAGTTTCATAGCAGATAACAGAAACTTTAATTTAAATTAAAATATATTTAATTAATTTATTTTTTATCCTAACCCTAACGAGCTGCGTAGAGAATCGGAGAGCGTACGTGAGCTGACGTCGACAAATGCAAATTTATAACAAAACATGACGGTACCAAGTAAGAAATTTAAAGAAAATTAAATAAAATTCTAAACAATTTATTATGTAATCCCAATCCTTCTATAAATGCTGGAAAATTTCATCACAGATGAAGTCAAGGCATGCGGCAAAAGAAATTTGATTCTACAGAAGGATGCTGGGAATACCATGAACGGAATATGTTAGCAACGATAAAGTTTTAGAGAAAATGAAAACGAAACGGACACTTATACTTAACACCAGAAAGAGACAGTTGAAATTTATAGGCATATCAAAAAAAGAGAACTTAGAGAAGAGGAAAGCGGTGTATAGCCTACCGAAAGTGCTTGTGTAATTGGTTCGCAAAACAGGGATTAGGTAAGATAAAATTTACTAAGAGCTACAAAGGATAGGAGAATAGTTGAAGTTTCAGCGATAATGGAAACAAAAAGTACACATGCTTAGAATCAGAAAAAAGGTAGTTGAAATTTCTAAGAAATGAGGAAAGTGTGTTTAGAAAATATGAGACTAACAGGACATTTTGAAAGTAAGAGAGACAGAAGAAAGCTGTGTGTAACATACCTAACGAGCTTGTGGAAATGGTTGACAGAACAGGGATAAGGATAGATAGTAAAAAGAGAAAATTTACTAAGAGATACAAAAGACAGTAAATTGTGGAGAGCCATGATTGAAGAGATATGAGAGAATAATAATAATGATAATGATAATAATAATAATAATAAGTAGAAGAAGAAGAGAAGGAGGAGGAGAAGAAGAAGAAGAAGAAGAAGAAGAAGAAGAAGAAGAAGTAGAAGGAACTGTAGAGCGTAGTGATATTTTAACAATGCCCTCCATTTTCCATTGCGCATTAGAATTAAATCATATATATATATATATATATATATATATATATATATATATATATATATATATATATATATTTCAACCGATAAAATCCCATCAGAAAGTTTGTTGGATAAACAATTATTACAAGGCCAAATACCGCCAAAATACTTGCGGACATATCTGTTGACCCAGCATGTGTTATTTTGGGATCATTTAGATAATAACAATAGTAATCTTTCCCCACCTTTGTAAATTCGAGAAAAAAAAAAAGAAGATTTTAGCGAGGCAGTGTGAAATTATTTTCTAACTTTTGAAAACCTTGTATTCAAAAAGTTCATACATCTATATGGAATTAGATTATGAATCCCCTTAGAGATATAAAACTAGAAACATACTTCTTCTCGAGACTCAAAAACAATTTCGGAGGCCAGTATGATCTACATGTGCGTGCATACACAAACACACACACAGACACAGACACAGACACACACACACACAGACACACACACACACAGACTCGCACACAATCGAAGGGAATACCCAACAGTCACCGACTAAGCTTTTGTCTACGTACACATTAGGCAGATCGTCAGAAATTAAGTCTGTTCATGCATTTCACATCGAACTAAGAACACTTAATTACTTGATAAAACACAAACTTCACTGCAAGGAAAAAAATTAACATTTTATTCCTACTGTATACAGTGGAACCTCGGTTCACGAATTTAATTCGTTCCTGAAGGCCGTTCTTAAACTGAAATGTTCGTAAACCGAAATTATTTCTCCAAATGTAAAGAATGAAGTCACAGTACAATAAAATTGGAAAAGAAAAGTACGTCACAACACACGAATGTTTAAAACATGGCGGTCGACTCAGAAATTATTCCGTTCGGGTTAATTCGGTTCGGCAATGTTATTCGAGAACTGAAATTTTGTTCGATAACCGAGGCATTTTCATCTCGAATTTTCTGTTCGAAAACCCATCTGTTCGACATGTGAGACTTTCGAGAACCGAGGTTTCTCTTTATTTTTGAAAAGAATAAATAAATGTTATTTCAACTGATTTTCTGTGTTTACTTTTCTTTCAGAAAATAACCTTTTTTTTATGTTTCATTTAAAAGATGTGTCGTTGTTAAATGTTTGGAATTCCGACACTCAGATAGTAGCCAAAACCAGGATAGACAAATCCCAACATGCTAAAAAATACATTGGATATAAGGATTACCTTCCAACAGAACCGCTCGGAGGATCATGTAAGAATAACAAGTTTTTCTCGTCCTGTTTTCATACTTTCACAAGGGTTTTCATTTTAATCGGAAGTAAGCAGTAGCGAGATTTTCGACAAAATTCAAAGAGTTAGTTATGTAATCAATCCTGACCTGGTATCTCGACTTCATTCACTTTCTCACCGTGAAGTTGCTTCCCTCTGTCTTTTCTTTAAATATTTTCATTACAACTGTTCTGATTAGCATTTTTCTCTTGTGCCCCGACTACATGAATTTAAGCGTGCTCCTAGATTGGCAATTAGGTCCCACCGTTTTTCTGTTGAAAATATGCTGAAATATTATCGAGATGAAATATTATCTTTTCTCGCACTTTTCACCTGTGGAACTTCTTTTCCGATTTCTTGCTTTCCTGACACATACAATCTTAAAAAAAAAAGGATTAAATGCAACACCAATCTTCCCTTACTGCCATCTTGAACCCTGTTCCTTTATTAACCTTACGTTGCTTCTCCTCACTAAAGTAGTTTCATTCTCTTTCACTCACAGTGACGCGCTGTTATTATAGCCTGGCTTGGAGCGAAACGATAAAAAAAAATTAGCTTACATCATGTGAAAAATACATTCGCACTGTTAAAGAAATGAAATCTTAACAATTCCACAGACAGTCACGTTTCATTGTCCTGAAACTGATTACAACTTTTAAATATTCTTCCGACTCGGGAAGCTAATATTCAAATCATAAATGGACATTTCTTACTTGTTCTGTGTTTGTTCATGAAGTTGTGTAAGGTTTTATACGCTAAAGAATTGGTTTCTTTTTATAATTATTTATGTTTTTTTTTATTCTATTTAATCTTCTGAAATATTTCCAAAGTTCTCATATGACTGCCTTAAAGTGAGGGATGAAAAGTAATGTAAATCGCAATATTCTTGCAGAATTAATACAAGTTAGAATCTCAAAGTAGTTTTAGAAATTTCTTTGAAATGGCCAACTGTACATAATAAACACGCTTAACAGGATAAATTTTACAAAAGCGCCAAGAAAATTTTCAGATTCTTTTAATAAGAGACATGGCTAAATTTGAAAACCAAACAAAGATGTGTATGTTGCAACATTTCTGAAGTTAAAATAAATCTGATTATATTGAAAACCACCATTCAAATTTCTATCTTTTAGAGTCTGTCTATATTTCTGAGATGAGGTATTATGTACATTATTTACATTATTCGGACTAATGTCCTCATCTTTGTCGCCATATTTATCACAACGTTTCGGCCGCTTCTTCAGGTGGTTGAAATGTCGAACTGAACCCTTTATTTCGCACACTGGGGTAGACTGTTCTAGTTCTACTTGCCATGTTTGATGGATGTCAGTTATCTCCTGCTAATTTCCCTCTAAAAGTTCTCCACTTAACCGGGTATTGAACTCACACTCTTTGGGTCCTGTCACTGGATCTAACCAACGCCTTTATCCACTGTGCCTTTATCCACCATGCCTTGAGGACATCTGGGTATGAATTTCTGGGTATTATAAACCTAATGTCTTTAGCAACCATTTTTACCATTGCTCATATTGCAATTTTGCTTTTATCATTGCATGTTTTTACCAGAGCTCATATTGCAACTTTGTTGTTATCATTGCTTTTCTCTGGCACTCCTTATTACTGGTTCCCATATTGTATTTATTTCTATGCTTGGTCGGCTCAGGAGATTTTTTGTGGCCTATCTTTTACTCTTCTTTAAATCATTTCACACAAGGAAATAAAGCCACTAAGACGCGGGTGTTACGGAGGATGAAAGGATACAAGAAAAATAGAAACATTATTAACAAGCGAAAACAGTGAAAGAAAAGGAATCAAATAGATAAAAGATAACGACTGGCATTGCATTTGAAGTTTTGAAGATCAAATTTGAATAGAAATCAAGAAGCCGGGATGGAACTTCACGATAAAAGAAACTCTTAGCATAGAACTTACGGTTGCATCTAGCCATTTCTACTGTAAAGTTATGAGATCTTCCCGCCAATCTATTACTGCGTTTAAATTCACGCGACCAAGGTACCCATGGTTGAAAAATTACTATATCTATAGGGGAAGATAACTCAATATCGGCAATAGATCATTCGTAGATGTCACCAGTGTGGAAAGAGAAACCAAAAGTAGATGTCTGAGAATTGTTTAAGGTATGAAATTTCAGTTACCTTGCTCTTTTGATTTACATTTCAAAGCTCTTTCTTTCTTTCTTTCTTTTTTTTCTTTCATTCTTTCTTTCTTTCTATTTAAATGAAAATGACGAAAAATCTCAGCGTCTCCTCCCCTTTGTACCCATATGTAGTTACATCAACGGAATCATTAACTTAGTTAGATGAAGTCCTAAAGGACGAAACACGCCCAAAGATTCTTTACCCACTTTGTTATTAATTTTCCTAAGATTGTATTGGTATATAAACTTTTGTATATATTATCTGTTCCAATCTATCTATCTATCTATCTATCTATCTATCTATCTATCTATCTATCTATCTAATCCTCCCTTCTGTGTCGGTCGTTCCTTCGTTCGTTCCTTTCTTTGTTTCCTCATAAATAATCGTAATTTGTTTATCCACTTATATGTCATGATATTTTCAATTAAAAATAGTATACCATAAGAAGAATTACCCAACGCTTAATAAAAACAAAGTTTTATAGGAAAAAATGTTTGTTATTATTAAGAATATGTTTGATTATTAAATTATATTAAGAATATTTTTGATTATTAAAGATTAATCCTTATTAGAAAGTTCGAAATTTTGGTTAAGAATCTTGTTTTCTTTTCCCCGCCAGGGACCAAAAATTAACGACTTCTATGCGGTAAAAATCACATTGATTTAAGAATTCTTACAAAAATGAAATAATCGCCGGATTTTAATGAAACTTTCAGGACTCATTCATAAATTAATGCAATCATTTTAGAAATGT